CACACGTCAGCTCTGAACAAAAGCACCAACACAAAATGATTTTGTTCATGGTCCAGTTAACGATGACAGTAACACAAATATCTTAAATCCCTGCTCAGTGAAGATGCCAGACTAAGCCCTGTGAATAATTTGCCTGCTACTTGGTTACAAACTCATTTATTGCACCAGACTTTGGCGTCAGTTGTTACTATCAGTGCGACTGTTGGCGTTGTTACTATCAGTGCGACTGTTGGCGTTGTTACTATCAGTGCGACTGTTGGCGTTGTTACTATCAGTGCGACTGTGACCTGTTAATATCAATGTGCTAGTTCCTGTTTACACCATCTATCTGTACAGTCAGTGTCCTTAACTCCTTACTGAATTGTGTACCGTCCTATAACTTTTCCTTTGAAACACACACCAATTACTGCATATGTATGTTTTCAGTGTTTTACTGGAGTTTGCTTTTTTTTTTTCTCCCTCCCCTTCTTATGGCAGAAGGGCAGGAATTGTTTAAAGGTAAAAAGCTCATTTTGTTCATTTTTAGACCCATGATTAAATACAGAACAGTTGGAGATTGTAAAATATTCAGAGTTCTTACAGGCTGTGAATGCAAACTCAAACCATGGTGTCACGCTGTCTGGAGTGTCTATTCCAGGGCAGACATGGTGCTATATTCTATCATTAGACTTCACCAACCTGGTAACAAATGTGAATTCCTGGATCACGGTACCAGTCTTACCATGGAGTCGCAGACACTCCCCTGGGGCTCTCCAATCTATCTTGCCACCCAGGCAAGCTGGATTTAGTGATACGTGGTCACTTAACCAAAATCACAAAATATTCACGTTGCTTCCAGTCCCAAGAGACTTACCCAGGATCAATTGGTTCCCCAGATCTTACACTAAAGACAACACCTGTAGCCAATCCTTTAATAAACTATCTCAAGGTTTATTAACTAGGAAAAAGAAATGAGTTATTTATAGCTTAAAGCCGGCAACATATACACGCAAGTGAGGTCAGCCTATGGCAGGACCGGCTCCAGGGTTTTTGCCGCCCCAAGCGTCGGGAAAAAAAAAAAGCCACAATCACAATTGCGATCAGCAGCACTCCGGCGGCAGCTCCACTGCGCCGCTTTCTTCTTCGGCAGGAATTCAGCGGCAGGTGCTTCCCTCCGAGAGGGGCCTGCCTCCAAATTGCCGCCGAACAGCCCGATGTGCTGCCCCTTCCCCTTGGCCGCCCCAAGCACCTGCTTGCTGGGCTGGTGCCTGGAGCCGGCCCTGGCCTGTGGTTTCCAAAGGTGACAGAGATGTAGTAATCTGTCAGCACCGAAGGTCTTTTCAAGGCTAACTCACGCCAAGCAGCATGGGGATCTCTATGCTTCTGTTTAGGAATCCTTGCCCCTCAGAGTCCAGACAGCATAAAAGAAATTCAATTTCCTCCTGTCAGGGATTTTTATCCCCTCCTCTCCAGAGCCCAAAACTGATGGGATGAGTTCATGTGTAGGGCTCTCATTCTTGGAGGAAGTTAGGAATGCAATCAACTAAATCTCTATCTTTTGATGTTACGCAATATGTCAGACGCCTTCAGTGGGTCATTCTTGTATGCAGGGTAAGCACTTTACCGTAATCAATGCTGCTTTTCCTGTTTTTGTGAGTTACACAATTACAAAGGTTTACAGTGCAAATACTCAATATAACTTTATACCAGGGGCGATGGACATTATAAGTGAGCTCAATACATGCAGCATTCTAGAAGCATTTTATAAAATCTAAAGACGTTCTTATCAACTTACCATCTACTATCTGTTTCGATGATGCTAACACCACAGGAAAACCAGACTTGTTTCCAGCTATGCATTTGTCAGTGTTCAGTAAAGCCTGGGACCTTGGCATGAGCTAGCACCTGTTTTGCCAGCGTGTCGCCTGGAACCGAGAGAGGTTTTACTGTTAATTATACAAAGAACATATGCTGACTGAGGTTTTGCCAAAATCAAACTGCCACAACGCATCCCCTCGCTCCCCCCGCCACATGCACAGTCACTTTCACACTTCTGGGTGTTCACACACACACGGACTGACAAGCACTACCTTATATGCATCTACAGTCCCATTCACAAACTTGTACACTTGCAGGCAGACCCAGGTGTGCATTTTCATACCCCTACAAACCATGCTTGTACTGAGAGCCCCTCAATGCCCTCTGGCAGAGGCGATGCGTGGAGGGGGTATGCAGGGTCACGTTCCCACCCCCCCAGATTGTTCAGTCACAAGGTGCGGCCAGGCCACCTCCCTGCAGGGCAGCTGAGCCAATGAGCTGCACTGGGCAGGGGGAGGCAGAAGGAACAGCTGGGAGCTTCAGGGAGTGGCCACTGCTTTCTGGGGGGGGGCATTGCTTTACCAGGAGTGGGGGCTGCCTGGGGGGGCATGACTCAGCTGTTCTGGGGTTGTGCGCCCCCCGCTATTAGCAGGCACGGGTCATCTCTGCTCACTGGTCTGTAAACTCCCTTCAGATCTGACACACTTATTACACCTAACCCATTATTGTCATAGTATTTATCTGCCAAGAGAGTTATGTGTAGTATCACATGAAAGCTGGTGACACACCGGTCAATAATATCATTGTGTGATGTAGGTATAGAGTTTCATAGAATATCAGGGTTGGAAGGGACCTCAGGAGGTCATCTCGTCCAACCCCCTGCTCAAAGCAGGACCAATCCCCAGACAGATTTTTACCCCAGTTCCCTAAATGGCCCCCTCAAGGATTGAACTCACAACCCTGGGTTTAGCAGGCCAATGCTCAAACCACTGAGCTCTCCCTCCCCCCACATGTGTGCTGCAAATATGGTTCTAAAATATGTTTTGGGGGCAAAGTTGTTAAACAAGTTTGTCCTAGACAAAGAACATAAGAACAGCCGTACTGGGTCATACCAAAGGTCCATCTAGCCCAGTATCCTGTCCTCTGACAGTGGCCAGTGCCAGGTGCCCCAGGGGGAATGAACAGAACAGGTAATCATCAGGTGATCCATTCCCTGTCGCCCATTCCCAGCTTCTGGCAAACTGTGGAATGTTGATTTGCCAGTTTGCCTGTGTCTGTAACATAAGTCGGGATGCCAAAGACAATGGGCAGCTCATTTGCATCTGAGGTCATCAGGTTTCAGAGTAGCAGCAGTGTTAGTCTGTATCCGCAAAAAGAACAGGAGTACTTGTGGCACCTTAGAGACTAACAAATTTATTAGAGCATAAGCTTATGCTTATTTGTTAGTCTCTAAGGTGCCACAAGTACTCCTGTTCTTTTTGAGGTCATCAGGTGGATGAGGAAACATCATGGCGTCAGCATGTGTAGGACACCACAGGCTGAACTCAAGGGAGGACCTCGGGAGTCAGCCTGACTCTTAAGACAAAGACAATGAAATTTGGGGAATATAAAGAGAAGCAAAAAGGCCTTTTGTTACCCATCACTGAGGGGACAAATTGGTCAGTGCTCTTTGCATCTCTGAACAGTGGATCCCCAGCGAGGTTGGTTGGTCGATGCTGAAAAGCGACTGTGGGTGAGAACTCCTTTAGACAAAGCTGGGTGGCTGCTAAGGTTCTATGTAGACTCTTAGAAGCATGTTATTCTTTTCTCTTATTTGTAACCATTTTCTGTTTCTGTTATCACTGCTTAGTGCCACTTAAAGCTCTATTATTAAACTTATTCGTGTTTTATTATAAATTCATCTCGGCGTTATACTGAAGTGAGGGACGCATCGTCAGCTGAGCCAACAGGCTGGTGCGTATTCTCTCTTTGGAGACAGCGGACGTGGTATTTCCGTGGGCATCCAGTGACAGGGACTGGATGCCACAAAGGAACGTTATTCCAGAGGGCTCGGGCACTGTAGTACACCCAGGATTATCTGCATGGCAAGGCAAGGACTGGCAGAATCCTAACGAGTTTGTTGGGCCCGCTAACAGACTGAAATGTTGAGGAGCTGACACACAGCTTAGTAGCAGCAAATCTCTCTCTTGCCGAGACAGGGTAACAAGCAGGGCTGCCCAGAGGATTCAGGGGGTCTGGGGCAAAGCAATTTCAGGGGCCCCTTCCATAAAAAAAAGTTGCAATACTATAGAATACTATATTCTCGTGGGGGCCCCTGTGGGGCCCGGGGTCTGGGGCAAATTGCCCCACTTGCCCCCACCCCCGGGCGGCCCTGGTAACAAGGTGACTTAGAGTTCTGGACTCCCCGACAAAGCGTCTCACACACCCACATGCACACGTTCGACTTGCACACTTTCACGCTTTTCACATAGCAACGCATTGGCATGTGCACGTTCATCTCCATACACATCTTCATTTGCACTTTACACTCCGGCATCCCACGTTTGCACCCACATACCGTATATACCCGTTCATTAGCCCGTTCGTTTATAAGCCATCCCCCCAAGATGGTTAGGTAAAAACAGCAAAAACTGTATGACCCTTTCATAAACTGACCCTATATTTCAGGGGTTGGCAAACTTTGGCTCCCGGCCATCAGGGTAAGCCGCTGGCGGGTCGGGACATTTTGTTTACCTGGAGCGTCTGCAGGCATGGAGCCCCTTAGTTCCCTGTGGCTGCGGTTCGCCGTTCCCAGCCAATGGGAACTGCTGGAAGCGGCCACTTCCCGCACTCCCATTGGCTGGGAACGGCAAACCGTGGCCACAGGGAGCTGAGGGGCTCCATGCCTGCAGACGCTCCAGGTAAACAAAACGACAACGTGTTAGATATTCAATTCAATGATTCCATAGAGTTTAAAATCATGAAATTTCGGTGTAGACCCGTTTATAAGCCGACCCCCACTCTTTGATGTGTCACTTTTTTACCAAAAATATTCGGCTTATGAACGAGTATATACGGTATATATACCCTCCTAACACACACTTTCAGATACATGCAAACATAACAGTAAAACTAATTAGTCTATCTATGTGTGGAGGAGCTGGAACTTTGAAATGGTCATTGCTGCCAAACCAGTAAGTACCTGTCTGTGATTTCCTCCTCAGATATGGTGGGTTCTACCCTCAGATCCGCTACCAGATCGGAGAAACCTATGGCAAAACCACCTCTCGCCTGCTGACAGACCCCAATGTTCGGAAGAGCCCTTGCTCTGTGCTGGCACCCCTGGGGAAGCCAAGGTTCCTAGAGGACTTTAGTGGTACAAAGCATCCTTCAAACCAGATGCTGGATCAAAACTACAGTTACTTTCCCGGATACACTGGTGAGTGAAACTCAGGACTTTGCCCACGGCATCAACACAAAGGGAAGTTCTGCCAGCTGAATGTGGACACAAGAACAAATGGATATAAACTGGACATTAGGAAGTTTAGACTTGAAATTAGACGAAGGTTTCTAACCATTAGAGGAGTGAAGTTCTGGAACAGCCTTCCAAGGGGAGTAGTGGGGGGGGCCAAAGACATATCTGGCTTCAAGACTAAGCTTGATAAGTTTATGGAGGGGATGGTATGATGGGATAGCCTAATTTTGGCAATTAATTGATCTTATTAGCAGGTAAATATGCCCAATGGTCTGTGATGGGATGTTAGATGGGGTGGGATCTGAGTTACTACAGAGAATTCTTTCCTGGGTGTCTGGCTGGTGAGTCTTGCCCACATGCTCAGGGTTTAGCTGATCGCCAAATTTGGGGTCGGGAAGGAATTTTCCTCCAGGGTAGATTGGCAGAGGCCCTGGAGGTTTTTCACCTTCCTCTGCAGCATGGGGCACGGGTCACTTGCTGGAGGATTCTCTGCACCTTGAGGTCTTTAAACCACGATTTGAGGACTTCAATAACTCAGGCATAGGTTAGAGGTTTGTTACAGGAGTGGGTGGGTGAGATTCTGTGGCCTGCATTGTGCAGGTCAGACTAGATGATCATAATGGTCCCTTCTGACCTTAAAGTCTATGAGTCTAAGTCAAAAGTTTCACCTAGGTGGCCTTGGTTTGTATATGGTATTTGGACTAGTAGGACATGCTTTCATGGAACAATCATGGCTCCATGATTAGTCTCCTGTGGGTCTCATTGCGGATGCTGGGTGGTGGTGGTGGCCTGTGATATACAGGCAGTCAGACTAGGTGACCACAATGGTTCCCTCTGACCTTAGAGAATTTAAGAATCTTCAGTGGGACCTGTCATTCTCCTGTGGCCAATTGAGTTACAACGCACATCTTCTCATTCTCCCCATTGCCAAGCAACTGTAGAGTGAAGCGTTTCCTTCTCTTTAGAGAAGTGCCCACATAGATTCGCACTTACAGGGTTTTGCATGCGCCCTCAGTATTGACCCTGGGCTCCTCTGGAATAGAAGTGCCCTTGGGCAGCACACATGCTCCCTGTGCAACAGATCTGAATATCTGAAACCAACATTATGTCAGCAGCAGCACGCTGGGCCTCCGTAAGCGCCTCTTCAATGCGTAGCTCCTTGTTCGCTCCAGCTGGGTCGAGTGCTTTTCTCATGTGTTTTTCCTGTAGTGTTTGAGAAGTAGCTGTTGTGACTGTAAGATTTCATAGCAGCTGGTCAGTGTTGCATCACTGTTTGGCCTACCCTAGGTAGGTGGAAGAGACGGGCAGGTCTGCTTTATGATACAATCATGTATCTCTGCGGTATTGGATAGTTTTACTCCTGATCTGAGCAGGGATGGCTTCCTTACAGTGATGGGTTCAGGAATTGCACCTCTGTGACACCAAAATGTCCTTCACTGTCTGACTTGGCTCAATGATTGGCCCTCCCAAGGCATGCTCCATATGCTTGTCACCACCTAAAGGAGGTGATGACAACCTTCACTCAGCTCTCCCTGATAAGTGCTTTGGCACGACCAAGCCATCAGTCTGACAACTGAACACCAATTGACAGACTCGTGACTTGTGATGATCTCAAGTGAAATGGCCCTTTGCAGGGTGAACAACGAAAGAAAAGAAAAAGGCTCATGCCTATGTGTATGCCACCTCCATGTGGAAGGCGTCTCTTCTGCAAAATGCAATGACCTGGCCAATCTAATACGCGAACAGAAGATCAGTGTCCTCGCACTACAAGAGAGTCACTTATTGGACAACAAGAAAGCATCAAAATGTCACATTCCAGGATATCTCTTAGCAGTGAGCCCATGGACATGGACCGGCAATGTTCATGAGACAACAGCTGTGGAATACCTGCTCTGTGGACTCAAACTCTTCAACACCATATGCTATCACAATCCGAGTCAGCCAGCTTAAGATCACAAATATCTTTAGGCCACCATATGTCACCTGGCCCACATTGATTTAGCAAATCACAGCCACCCTTCAATATGGGTTGGAGACTTCACTAGCCATCATACATCCTGGGGTTCTGACAACAATGATCCCACGGACAAACAGCTTCTTAAATGGGCCTTGAACCAAAATAAGCATCTACCGTTTGATCTTAAGCACCCAGGAACCTTTCATCCTGCAAGGTGGAGAAAAGTTGACTCGCCCAACTTATGCTTCGTGTCCCGTGCCTGGAACGCGTGGCCCCTACTGGTGGAACAAACTCTCTTCAATGATTTTTCACATAGCCAACATTGACCTCTTGTCATATGCATCAGTGACCTAGTCCTCTAATCACATTGCTACCAAAACCACACTGAAACTTTAGGAAGGACCATTGGAACAGCTACATGGAACCCATGGAAAAAGTGGTTTGACAAAGCCCTGTGAACATGGACAGTTATGACAGGTTCCTCGATCTCCTTAAAGAGGCTGTAAAAAGGAACATCCCCTGTGGCTACAGGAAAGCCAACACTCCCTGCTGACTGGCAGACAGTGAGGCTCTCCTGAAGGAGTCCAGGACCATAGATAATCCTGCTGCTGCAACCACACTCCTGGAAACACTGAACTCTGCTAGATGAGAGCGATATGCAAAAGCTCTGCAGAGCCTCAGTGTCACCCACTCCACCAGGAAAGCCTGGAAGCTTCCCCGTAATCATGGCAGTACCAACCCTCCCCTTTGCACCATGTCACATGTCACAGCTGACACCATCGCCACCCTAATGCTCCTGAATTCCAAAGCCCAAATAGATTTCATCACAAAAGGACCAGGAAGACAGAGCTTTACTGCTCTCTGTCCAACTGCCCAGCAACACTGAATCTATCAAAGCCTTTCACTAGAGAAAAAGTGGACAAGCCCATAAAACTCACCAAACTTGGCAATGCAGCAGGCCCAGATGGCGTTTTCCCAGAATGTCTGAAAAACCGAGGCCAGCATGGCCACAACTGGTTGACACACTTCTTTACCAACGTGCATGCCCTTGGCCAAATGCCTAAGGCGTGGCAACAGGCAAAGGTCACCACCATCCTGACACTGCAGAGAGCAGACAAGCTGACAAACTAACAGTTGGTATCATTACTATGCATAATATACCAGCTCTTGGGAAGGATACTACACCCGGCTTTGATTACTGCCTCTAAAAAAGCAATCTGGGTTCAGACTGAGATGAAGTACCTGCAATCAGGTACATACACTGATGACCTACATGGAAGCTGGCTATCAATATGGGCTCAAACCAGCAGCAGCCTTTGTGGATTTGTCCTCCGCATATGACATGGTTTGACGGGACAGCTTGATTCTGAAAGTGTCGAAAATAGCATGTTGCAGAGCAACGCTGCAGCTACTGAGAGTTATGCTCACAAGTGTTGCATTCTTATAATAGAACAGACCAGCTGACCTCGTTTCCTGAACAATGGGCTCCCACAGGAATTCGTCTTGGCACTGTCTCTCTTTAATATTTATCTCAGTGACATGCCATGAAGCCAGTCATGAAAATTTGGATATGAGAATGATCTCACGCTCGCCGTCAAGTGAGCCTTTCACCCGCGCAGAACGCATCCTCAACACAAGATCTGCAGAACCTGAAGAAGTGCTACTGGTCCTGGTGACTCTGACCAAACCCTCAAACTGCTGCCTCCTCGTTTCACCTGAGCAACTGACATGTAAAGACATGCGTGAATGTCACCTGCAACACCAAACTCAGGCTACAATCCAGAACCACACAGATATCTTGGGAAGCCCTCTTGCCTAACATCTGACAGAAGCCACTGCCAGAATAAAGGCTAGGAACAGTACAATCCACAAACTAGCCAAGCCCAATGGAGGATCAGATGCTCACACCTTGCAGACATCCTTGGCCCTCATCGTCTCAGTGTCTGAATACTGCATGCCAGTATGAGTAGGTAGTGCACATATGAAACTTGCCAATGTGCAATTGAACACTGCTATGCAAATTGTCACAGAAGTGCTGAACTTAACATTGACATTCTGATTCCCCGTCCTCACGCATATCTTACCAACATCCCCTGAAGAGAAGCAGCAATAATACAAGAATATGACTCTGCGATAACAAACTCAGACTTGCTCGTCTATGAAGGTCTCCAACCCCCTCCTGAGATGCCACCTGAAATCCAGGAACCCTTTCTGGTTAGCAGCTAAAGCTTTTGAAACCTCAGGAGTGTTACCAAAAGACAAGTGGTGGAGGCTATGTGAAAATTGTAGGGTCAAGAATCAAGACCTGATCATGGATCCTACAGAACAATTACCTACCTTCACCATGTTGCATAAGACATGGATCCTAGCGAACGACATCAGAACATCACACAGGTGCTGCAATTGCCTAACGCACAAATGGAAAATGAAGAAGTCTCACATGTGAATGTGGAGAAGACATCCAACCCATGGAGCATCTAGTGAATTGCTGCCCTCTAAGATCTTTTGCCGGAGGGACAGGCTTGATACATTCCATCTTACTGGAAGCCACAGAGTGGATGACAAACTTGGATGTTGACCTTTAATGTTACTTTTGATGTTGTGCTCAAGATGAAGACATGCCTTTAAAACCACAGCTGTTGCACATATCCTTCACTTTATAAAAAATGATTAAATTAAAACTTACCTAAACAAACCTCTCCCCATATAGAATCAACAACACTCAGCGAGTCTCTGAGTTTTTAACTATTCTTCAAAATACATGTTTTTCATACATTCCAAGATCAGAAGGGACCATTGTGATCATCTAATCTGATCTTCTGTATAACACAGGCCAGAGAACTCCCCCAAAATAATTCCTATACCATATCTTTTGGAAAACAGACACTTTTGATTTTTAAAATTGTCAGGAGGGAGAACCCACCTCAACTCTTGCTATATTGTTCATGTAGTTAATTTCTCACCATTAAAAACGTATGTCTTATTTCCAGTCTGAATTTGTCTAGCT